AAACTTGGCCTTGATCCTCAGCAGCCTCTACAAAATGCAATTGCATCAAAATTAACAAATTTGGTTAGTCTTATAATTCCCCTCTTCCTTTGATTTAGTATTGAATGGCGCATGCTGATTGTTAGAGTCATGAAACAGGCATCCAAAGTGAGCAACAAAGTGAAGTCGAGAATTCGGGCAGGAGAAAACAACATGGATCGCGAAGGTGGGAGCGGAGATAGTCATTATTCGGATCATGGTTCAGATTCTCTTTTCTCTGACCATAGGGAGGATGCAAATTCAAGTGGGGCTAGCACACCTAGAGGAGATATGCCGCCATCTCCTTTTGGTGTGTTCTCCCAGATTGATGAGAAGTCTCCAGGAAAACCCTCCAGAGATTCTGGCGATGAGAGTGAAGGAAAACCTTCAATCCAAAAGATAATATCAACAAAAGCAGAAGCATGGATGGGTAAGAAAGGATTATCATGGCCATGGAAAGGAAATGAGCGAGAAGGGTCAGATGCTAAGACTACTCGTTTTGTTTGGCCTTGGTTGCATAATGAGCAAGAAAATGATTCGGTTCATCAGAAGAGTTATTTTGGTTCAAAACCAGAGAGTCAGGTGAATGAAAATAATCGGACTGCAAATAATGAGGCTTCTGGATCTTGGACCTCCTCATTTAATGTGAACAGCACAAGCAGTGCCAGCAGCTGTGGAAGTACCAGCAGTAGTGCTGTGAATAAGGTGGATGTGGACAGTGACTGCCTGGATTACGAAATCCTATGGGAAGACTTGATAATCGGAGAACAGGTTGGGCAAGGTAATCATCTTTCAAGTGACCAGTGCATGCTTTTGAAGTAATAATATTCTTCATTTCAAGAAACTGTTTGATTGATGCTGGTAAAGCACGTCTGTAATCACCCAAAGGACCAAAGGTGATTAAGCGGGTCGTCCATTATGTATTTCATCGATCCTGAATCATCTACTGCATTGAATCATTGGTGACTCTGATTATGGGACATGCTTGATTGCCAAAATGTCCATCTAAGGGCCAACACAATTTCTCTTGTGAGTTTATTCTTGGTTTATTTTCATTTTAATATCTATTTACCGTTTCCTCATTCTGCAGGTTCATGTGGAACTGTATACCATGGTCTGTGGTATGGATCGGTATGTTCTCTGACTCTTTCTTTAGTTAAATACAAATTGAAGTGGATGCTAAAAAAAAAGTTCCAGATTTAACCGAAGTGATATGTTCTAGTGATGATTTCCCATTACTCTTCTATAAATATGGGTGTTTGCGGTATCAGTGAACAACTCTTCTTATTCATACGAACTAGGTGTGGTATGATGATGATGCATGTGGGATGTTTATTCTGTTTTAATTGTTTAGAATACGGAAGGTGAAGAAGCATTAGAAGTATTGCGAGCATATAATGTTCATGTGTGTTTGACTGATATCTTTGCTGTTACAGGATGTTGCTGTCAAGGTATTCTCCAAGCAAGAATATGCAGAAGATGTGATACTTTCCTTCAGACAAGAGGTGTGCTTTCTAGCTGCATATGATTTGCACTTGCTTATGTACTCAGGAAGCAGATGAGAGTTTGACTGGAACGTTTGAATTTGCCTTTTGGAGATTTCTCTTGATGAGTTTGGGATTATGTAATGCACATTCCATATTAGAAGGGACTTGTGGGTGTGACAATCTTGACCACCCCATGCCAGACTGCAAAAAAATATTTCTATGGCATTCCTTTCATCGTTTGTCTTATGGTTAATTTTGTAGTTATTCATTTTGTTAAATGCTCATGTTACAATATGGTATTGTTTATCAAGGTGTCTCTTATGAAAAGGCTTCGACATCCAAACGTTCTGCTTTTTATGGGAGCTGTGACTTCACCTCAGCGTCTCTGCATTGTAACAGAGTTCCTCCCACGGTTGGTTCTGAACTTCCCTTTCTGGAAGCTCTATATTTACAAGTGTCTGAATTTATGTTTATCATTTCTGGAAGTTTATATATCCTTTTTAAAGTACTTCGCGAGTTCACTGGTGCCACTCATATCAATATTCTCTTAATGCAGTGGAAGTTTGTTTCGCTTACTACAGAGGAACACATCAAAACTAGACTGGAGACGACGTGTTCATATGGCAATAGATATAGTGAGTATTATTGAGTAATAGTACAAAAACGATATATATTAGAGTAATCTCATCAAGAAATACTGAATTTTCCACAGGCACGAGGCATGAATTATCTTCATCATTTCAATCCACCTATCATTCATAGGGATCTGAAGTC